GCAGTCTCAATTTTTTGTCAATTATTAATGGGGTGATCAGTCCCCTGCATATTTGCTGGGAGCCGTGCGGGAAAGTGGTATTGGCACAAAGAGAAGGCCACGTCGTGTCGCATTGCACCTGTTAAACGACTCTTCTGGTGCAATGTCATAATTTTCCTCCGGCGATAATGAACACAACTAGAGCAGGATACCGCAGTAAACAAAAGCTGGAAGCTGTTTAATATTAGTTGCCGTTTTTTAAAAGTGTGCATCAAGTTTTGTACATCTCCAAAGTTATGTTTATGTAAGAGAACGCAAATCAACAGGGAGTGTTTGAGGATCAACGTGCACGTGCGGAACAAACAAATCTCAGCTGACTACTGTCTTCAACATCACCGTCGGCAATTTCAATTGTCACGATTCATCCCAAGAATCAATTCCTTCATTAACATGTCATGAATGTGGTGGCTGCAGTGGTCACGTGATTTATGTTGATGGATTCAGAACTCAATTATTCACTCCTGTCACTCACCGGTGGGCAGTGGCTTCTTTATCGCTACAGCCATTGGGTTCATATTCTTGGTTCTTTCGGTAAAGTCACGTAGGGAAACAATATTTTTATTATTTTATTGTTTCCCTTCTACGTGACTTTACCGAAAGAACCAAGAATATGAATCCCTGCAGTCACGAAAGCTTTAAATAAAAATTTAGCCATTGGGTTCTTTCCCTGTGATCGTCACTTGTTTATTCGTCCCTTGTGTTGTGGCTGAAACGTGAGAATTTTATTTTGTTTTATTTTTATGATTTTATTATGTTTTATTTTTATTATTTTATTATTTCCCTTCTACGTGACTTTACCGAAAGAATCAAGAAGAAGATTGTCCCTTGTTTATTCGTCCCATGTTGACTCGGTCTACCAGACACTGACTACTTCATCTCATCCACACTATGTTCAACCACCACACTGTAGGTCACAACAACACACACTCCATCTACCCACTCACTCATCTACCCACTCAACCACCCATACTCTCCCACTCAATCACTCACTCGCCCACCACACTGCAGATTACAATGGTTCTTTTTCTGATTCTTCCCTTGCACTGTCTGACTTTGGAATTCTCTCCCATAGTCTCTTTTCCCAAGCTCTTAACTTTTCCTCAATTCAAGTAGCGTGTTCACACTTATTCCAACGGTGAGATTGCTGTTTCTTGCTGGCTGCTTAACGTTTTAGGCCTTTGGGTCTGTAGTCAGCAACTGTTTAAAGATTACTTTTTTTTACTAATCCCGCATGAATAGGAAAATTACTAATCTTACAGAAGCCATTTGAAGCACGTACCCTAACCTTATTAGGTTTCCTTCCTTCAGCTTCTCTGCCCAATTTCAGGTCCATGGATCAAGTTTTTCTCCATCCCTTCTGATCACAACATTTCACTGTGCTTGGCTTCTTGAGCCATAGCGAGGGAGGAAACGGTTCAGCATTGTTTTCCCTGGCCTTCCTCAGCGGCGTTGTTTCGGTGACACTTGTCACCACTTGTGGGTTATTTGACACTACTTCACCTTGCTGGCCAGTGTGGTTTGGTGAAGGTGGGGTAGGAATGGAGACGTTTGAGTGTGCGTTTTGCCACTGCACTGCCCTCTGCCGATGGCATGGCCCCCCCCCGTGGCAGCGTATACGGCCTGCACTTTGCACGGTGTTGAACGTCAATCCAAACACTCCCAGGCTCCACACCCTGTTTGGCTTCCGCGACCTGAAAAGATCGCGTGCATTCTGGTGTTGTTTGGCCACAGGCAATTTTACACTCAATATTAATGTATAAATAAAGTTTCTTTTGTGTAACAGAGCTTGAGACCAGGATAATTGTCATTTGCAGCAGTGACCAGGATCGAAGGATCGTTACATCACCTGTTCACCAGCGATCGCACTAGCATTCGAGTAGATGGCAAATAAAGTGGCCCAGAGCTCATGTCCTGCTAATCGCGATTCTCCGCGATAATTGTCGGTGATTCTCGGATACGATTTGCGCGGTGATTCCACAGCGGCAGATGCATGCGCCCAGTGCGCTCGATTGAATGCCCTCTGTGAGGGACACCGCTCGGGAGAGCGAGCGGAGTCTCGGGGCCTCCTAAGAATAGTTGTGCGGCTAAATCTGGAGGCACGGAGGCTTACCGTTGGCACACGCGCGTCGCGCACTGCTGAGCGGCAACCGGTGCGAGCACGCGTCCCGCAGACGGTGTCTGCCCTGAGACTAAATTTTGGCATTCCTTTGTCGCGCTGTCTTGAGTTGTACCCACTGTTGTCGGCCACGGCCACATGCCTGTTTTCTTGTAGACACGAATCTAGGCTTTGTGTCGTGGGCTGTCCAGCACCATTATTTGTGTTTCATCACAGCATCATCTCGGCGACATCACTCGGGCACCTTTAATGACAAGCCTTACTTTGACTTTTAAAGGCTTTTTCTGATTAACGTTGTCGGAAACCCTGAGACTCGCAGCATAGGTGCATAACATAAAGCTTTTAGCTATATGATAAGAGATTAAATTTTAAGTTGTGCCCTCCTTTAAAAAAATAAGCCAACATTTTGTTGCTGTTCACATCTTGAGGGTGAGGATGGAAGCCCACTGTGGTCTGGTTATGTATGTGTCGGTGAATGTCGGTGCGTGCGTGTGTTTTTATAACCGCACCGACCGTTGTATTCTGGATACTCCCCAGAGATAGTGAAATCTCATCTTTAGTTTCGGCCCAGTTCAATTCATAACTGAGGCACTTCCCTTCGCGAAATAGTTTGCATGTGTATGTTATGTTGTAACTTGTAAGTATAATGGAAGACAGTTGACACATTTTCTTCAAGTGCTTCGAGGAAATACTTGAATGCCACGCCAGACAAAAAGTCCCCCCTAAAGTTTATGCCGTCCACAGCAAAATTGTAAAAGTGAGTTTTATTCCTGAAATGATGAGGGAGTCACGTTTCTCTTGTTTACAACGTGGGTGGAAATTCCACGTTCCCATGGCAGATCCGTGTTAATTTATAGGAAGACTTCTGATCGCCTTCCGCAAAGTGTTACTCACTGTCTCCATTGCGATGAAGAGCTGAGTCGACCCCTCGCGGGAATTCAAGCTTTGCCACCTTTCCGCTTGTGAGTAGAGGGCACCGAACCACTGCCACTCGGCTGAATGAATATCTTCGCACGAGCTCTATGCAACACCACGCGTTCCCGGGTTTTTGCATTAACCGGGAAAATCCCCAAATCAGGCCGAGATACCAAATTTCAGATGATCGCGATTTTGGTTTTATTTTTGGTTCTATACAAAAACCGGGAGTGGCACTCTTGTGCCACCGCTTTCTGGGCGCAGCCATCGTGAGTGGAGTCACGCAGCATCGGGTGATGGCACGATCGTCGACACGGAGGCATCTTAAACTGCACATCGGGAAGTCATCCGAAAATGTGAAGAAAAAATACAAAATGGTCTAAAAAAATTCGAAATGTTTAAACACCCACAATGCATCCAATTATCACCTACAATTACCACGGTTGGCTACGTACGGTGCGAACGAAGTTCTTCATGCATGCATCCATACATCCCATCAGATCTCGGAAGCAAGGCAGGGTTCACACTGGACAGCGCTTGAATGGCTGGCCACCATGCGACAATCACGTGTCATAAGCTCTGACTTTTGACCTTTCTAGGCAGAATTCCGCTGATTGCAGTGGCTTGTACGGTTTCTGCCATCCGATGGGGGGGGAGGGGGGGATGGTCTCAGCTTGGATTGCATTCGGACAAAATGTATTTGCCGTTGGTGGTAAGGCCAAGTTGACACCGCCTAAGAGCAGTCAATGTGCTGGAATTTTTGCTCATTTTTATTCAGCCGCACAGAACACCTTGGCAGGTTTTTTTAAGATAATTCCCCTTGAACGGAATGCCATCGCCCTTCTGTTAGCCCACTTCCTTAATTGCCGGGACTTCTCTCGAGATACTAGATCAAAGGTGTGTGCGTTGACAGGGATTTCTCTCCATCCCCTAGTATCTTCCCACTCGTGCTGATTACCTAGGCGCACGACTGGCATCAAAAGTGTCACATTCTCATTTTTTCTGCTGAAATCAGCATTTGCATCGTGCAGCTCCATAGCGTTTTATTCGGTCCGCAAGGGGCAGTTTAAGCCACTGTGAAACGAAAAGGTGCAGCCCCTCTATTAGGCAGTAACGTGATCCAGCGGTAGCGCGTTCCCCGCTTGTTGCTGATGTTCATGGTTGTAATCCAGTGGCCGCCCTGGCTAATTCCGCGAGCAGTAAAAATGCGCCCCGTCTTCTTCCTAGTGAACGTTTAAAAGATCCCGGTCATGTTTTATTGGCGAGAGTGGATGATTGTGTGCCGGCGTCGTGGTCCAAATTTTCCCAATTTTTTTTCTCATTAAACCCCTGAAATTATTCAATTGGGATTATTCGCAGCAATCGTATCGCCCCTGACTGCAAACAACTTGGCAGAACCATCCACAAAAAGAGTCGCGAGACTCGGTGAGGTTTGTCTGGGTAAACAAGCAGCATTAGCAAAAAAAGCTTATGCCATTGCTGGCGGACGGGCCGCACGACAGCGTAAACTCTAGAGGGTATTTGGTCTACTTTTCCACGTTGATAACAAGACGTTGGCAGAGGCTGGGCCTACCCATATTTTACCCCACCATACGCGACCTGCCGATTTGGTGAACCCATTTACACTGCTGGCTTTACAGAGGCTGTGGTGGGGGGGGGGGGGGAGATTTGAGCAAACCTGTTCCATTGTTTCAACCGCTGTTACCCAGGAGATGGAATCGAAGCAGCAACCTCCTGGATTTCAATTCCAGTGTTTCTCACCCTTACACCACGGCAGCATCCTGGAGTCTCGCCTGTAATCCCATTGCCAATCGTGTGCTGCCTGATGCAATGATTTGAAACGAGCCTGGGGCTACTGGCTAGAGCCGTCGGTATAGACATCGGTGTTAGCTTTTTTGGCTACGTAGGGTGCGAAAGAAGTTCTACATACGTTTCGGTGGAGCGGTGGCTCGGTGTTTGGCATGCGATGCTCTTAGCCAGGCGACCCGAGTTGATTCCCAATGACAGCTCACGTCAGTTGCGAGTGATGTCTGATCCAGGCCTGGGTGCTGCCCACGCTGGTTAGTACCGGTTGGTGAAGGAGTGTGTGGGACGTTGGTTTGGACATCTCTCAACGGATGGTAGCCGTGGCCCGGATCGAAACTGGTTTTCAGGTTCATAGCTCGGCATGCTAATTAATTCGCCACTACTCCACTCCGTTAAAGATTTCATCCGTTTTTGCGATTCGATTAATTGTCGTAATTTCGGGGTTATGATTAGGTCTAAGAATGATTTTATTGTCTTTTGTTATCCTCAAGGGACAATTTAAATATAATTAGCATTAAGCACGAGCCGTTTATTCTGAGATGCACAAATCTCGGCGCATGGATCGTGAGTAAGAATCGATGCTGATGGATCGTGCGTAAGAATCTATGCCGATGGATCGTGAGTAAGAATCGATGCCGATGGATGAAATGCGACTTGACCAGCAAACACAATAGGGATGATGTAATGTTTAATTACCGTGGTTCCTGTATGTAGACAGTGCTGGGGAATTGGCTTATGATTGCAGAACTCTATTACTGTACACAGCCAATGTTCAAATCATCTGGATTGATTCCGATGTCGTCAGATGCTCAAGCAGGGTTAAGCCTGGATATGTGCTCCTCGGATCAAATAACCCGAGTGACCCGCAGAGCAATGTGGAGGACCCTCATCCAGCAATGGATTCCCAATAGAGCTGTACATGTACGTTCATACACAGCAATGTTGGATAGGACAAAATAAATGCACTTTGCACCGTGCCACATGTTTCTCTTTTTAGATGTTCTTGCCGTATTTCACTTTCAAGTTTGCCATTAACTTGTTTTCTAGTGATTCACTTTGCGAGAGTAACCGTTGTAAAGCCGCCGTAACGAGCAGTTTCGTTGGGCGCGTTGTATGGTTTTTTTTTGGACATCCCTCCCGGCTTTCCACCGGGTGGATGAGTTTGATGCGTTCGCCGATCGCAATTTGGCTGGTTAAAATAAAACATGCAGGGTGTTTGCAACGGCACGACGGGCGGGGAGAGTTTTTTTTGTCCGCAAGGGCACAGAACAAGAATGGGCCGGGGGGGGGGGGTCCTCCTGCTGAATCGTGAAACCCTCGGTTGTCTCTAGCCATGGCCTGGTTAGGCATCGCTGTGTGCGTGCATGAGGCTGACAAGCTGACCTCATTACCATAAGGCGTGCGGCGTTTGCCCAGGGAAGGGGGGACACAAAAGCCAAAGGTTTCGGTAACAAGTGAAAAGGCCTTTGAGAGTGTGCAGCAGGCCTGCTGATGTTACTGTGAAAGAACACCAGCAGAAGTTACCAAAAGCGTTCGGGTTGCCTGCGTTGTGTTGACTTGTGTAATCCACACAGGTATTATTATGATAGTGATCCTGCTTGTTAACTCGGGAACATCCCGGTCTTAAAGACCCTTTTTCTCAGGATGATTCAGCCAAGTTTTTGCAGGAGTGTGCGATGTTGCTGCTGTGTAATCCCAATTGAGTCATTTGCAGGTGATTTTTCAGCATTGAGGGTGTTTTGACCAATGCCTGTTATTCTGTGCGATTCTTGCGTATTTTTGTTGCTATTTTTTAGCCAATTGAAGAAACCAGAGAACCCGGAGGAAACCCATGCAGAACAGGGAGAGAACACACACACAGGAAGGCGCCTGAGTCGGGAATTGAACCCAAGGAAGTCTTGCTGTGCAGCGCAACTGTTACCACTGCGCCACCCTGCCACTTGCATCCTGTTATCTTTATAGTTTCATATTTTTATTAAAACATTTGCTCTGAAAAATACCTTTCAAGTGGAACATCTCATTTTTCAGAAGTGTCCCAAGTTTTAGGGTTTGCTGTTGGAGTTTAGGGTTAGGGTTTAGATTATGGTTTGGGTTAGGCAACCAGCTTAGGTAATGGGGTTTTTCAGAATATTTATTGTAAATGGCACACCTTTATTTTAGGCAAATAACTCTCAACCAATTTTTTTGGCATTGAACCACAAACGACATTTTCTGAATAGCTGTGTACACACCGCTCTCCTGTCATTTTACTGCTGGATGAGAGAGTGCCTCCCCATTCCTATACGATTCTTGAGGATTGTTTAACCATCACCACAATGGTCAGTGCGGTTTGGTGAAGATGTGGAGCATAAATTTAGATTTAAAGCTTTCGTGACTGCAGGGATTCATATTCTTGGTTCTTTTGGTAAAGTCGCGTAGAAGGGAAACAATAAAATAATAAAAATCTAAAACAATAAAATTCTGACGACGTTTCGACTGCAACACGAGCAATCATCATCAGGTGTGAAAACCACAGCAAAAAAAAGCCACTTTTTTCAAATTTTCTTGCTGTGGTTTTCACACCTGATGATGATTGCTTGTGTTGCAGTCGAAACGTCGTGAGAACTTTATTGTTCTATATTTTTATTATTTTATTGTTTCCCTTCTACGTGACTTTACCGAAAGAACCAAGAATATGTGGAGCATAGTTGTGGAGACATAAGTACGGTACAACTGTAGATTGTGCTGCACTGCCCTGTTGCCCACATTGTAGCACAGGCCCCAGATGCCTATGACAATCAGGTGTGCATGCTGGTCATCTATCCAAGCATTAACCATGTTCAATTCCGCTTAGCTTTCAGGATCTGACTATCGGGTGCATTTCGGGTATGTATGCCCTGTAAGCTTACAGATGCGACCAAGCAGGTAAAATATGTTTAAATTGCAGGCTAAATAAGAAATGTGTCCCCACTTGTTTTCTTACTCCTAGTAAATATTTCGGTCAGAGGTTTGTGCAAATTAACATGTACAGACATGTGGTTGATGAGCTATATATAAAAAAAAGTTCCAGCCACTTCTGTGGCCTGCTCCTGAAAGGAGCAGGCGGGCATTGTGATTAACGTGTTTGTCCGCTCGCCTCCACAGTCAACAGTTTATCTTTTTTAGCGTGGTAGCTGAGCACAGGCCCACAATGCCCAGTGGCCAGCAACAAAACGGCACTCTCAGCACGAGAAACGTTGCAAAAGATAACAGTTAGCACGGTCCTTGAATTGAGCGAGGTTATCATCAGAGCTTGGGAAGAGAAACAATGAGAGGGAATTTAAAAGTGGAGCATGTGAGAGAATCGGAAAGAGAAGTGTTGTGACCTGCAGTGTAGTGGTGGTTGAACACAGTGTCTGGTACAGAGTCCTTAGCATTGGTGGAGTAATCTGTGCGTGAATTGTGCTTTGCCATTGGTCTCTGGTCCGGTGGTGCCTAATGCTGGACAGGCAGCGAGTAACGGGCTGACAGTGAATATTAGAGGAGTCCTCTGAAATTCCACCTGGTGGCGTTTGACCGCTCTTCTTGGAATCCTTATCAGCAGAAACATTCACCCATGAGATGGAATTTCTGAGCCTTTCCACATCACCTGATAACCACAACGAAGCTGGTATTGGCGGCGTTGATACGTTCAACCCTTTGACACATGTTGGCGCTTAGAATGTCTCTTTCAGACGATACATTGTTGTAGCCGCTCGGTGAAATAACGCGGCCTGTTTCCACTTGCGCCATGTGGATCGAGCGATAGCACGAATTGGGGAAGATTCACATCTGAAAAAAAAATGGCTGAAACACGTCACCTTGGGGATTTTACTTGGTTTAGTGGCGAGGAAGACATTGGCAAGTTTTCACTGAAAATGTGATCCACGGTAACGTTCACAAACGTGTGTTTTTGTGCACACAGGTGCGTTTATGTTCAGGCCTACCATGCCTTGATTCATCCTCTCCACTCTTGAGTGTAATACAATACGCTGAACTTCGTGTTGTATTGTAAAAGAGACCGCCGGCTCGTATGGCCTTGTAGAATATTTTTGGCAGTCTTTCGGTTTGTACTGTACGGCAGGGCGGTGCGGTGGTTATGCTTGAGCTTGGGTTCAGTTCCCGACTGGGGTGCCCTTCCGTGGTTGTACTATGGATGGACTCACCCACTCCATAGGAATGTGGATATTTCCCCCACTGGCTCAGAGATGTAAATAGGAGATGAGCACCATTACCTCGATGCTCATTTGAGCTTGAATTCACTTTTACTTTTGTCCGCAGCATTGGCGTGTTGTGTTCCAGAATTTTCTTCTAATACTGTTTTTTTGGTGGAATAAAAAAGTCGTTTTACTTTTTTGGTTTATGTTGTGCAATATGAAAAGCCATACAGATAACATAAAGGTGTAATTAGGCAAAATAATCTCTGGAAATTGAGGAGCTTTGTTAAGACATAGCATTTACTCTTGGGCACCTTAAAATGTAAATGAGGTGCCCTTCACGTTAAAGTAAGCTCACTGGCGATGCGGTAAGTGTCAAGGTTACACCAATCCGCTGGAGGGAGTAGTGTGCACATCACATGACGCTGGCTCACATGGTTATGAGAGCATGCACTTAATGGGGGAAGCACAACCAATGTGTGGAAATGTCGGGGGCGGCTGCAACGCGCCGAGGCTGTAGCTGACTCTTTATGAACGTTGCCAGTCCTTGAGCCCTTTCACAGGCCGCACGGACCAGATTAAAGCCACATCTGTTTGGTCAGGCAAATTGTGCTGCAGAGTCTCCTCTGTCAGTCGATGGGACAGATGCTTTTGTTTCTGCTAGTGTCCACGCAGCATAAACTACTTTGCATGAGCCGTAAGACATTCAAATTGTTTACCACAGTTGCCGAGCACAGGCCCAGAAGCCCAAAGTAGCAAGTAGCTAGCACTATCAAGAGTTTAACGCTTGTCTTGATTTGAGAAAGGTTATAAGAAGTTGGGAAAATAGATGGTGGGAGGAGGGAATTCCAGAGTGGAGCAGTGCGAGGGAAGAAGCAGAACGAGAAGCGTTATATCCTACAGTTTGGTGAGTGGTTAACGGGAGTGGGTGAGTTGTGACCCACAGTGTGGTGAGTGGTTAACGGGAGTGGGTGAATTGCTGACCCCGGTGTGGTGAGTAGTTAACGAGAGTGGGTGAGTTGTTGTGACTATAGTGTGGTGAGTGGGTGACGGGAGTGGGTGAGTTGTGACCTGCAGTGTGGTGAGTGGGTGACGGGAGTGGGTGAGTTGTTGTGACCCACAGTTTGGTGAGTTGTTGTGACCCACAGTTTGGTGAGTTGGTGATGGGAGTGGGTGAGTTATGACCGGGAGTGGGTGAGTTGTGACCCGCAGTGTGGTGAGTGGGTGATAGGAGTGGGTGAGTTGTTGTGACCTGCAGTGTGGTGAGAGGGTGAGTTGTTGTGACCTGCAATGTGGTGAGTGGGTTACAGGAATGGGTGAGTTGTTGTGACCTGCAGTGTGGTGAGCGGGTGATGGTAGTGGGTGAGTTGTGACCTGCTGTGTGGTGAGTTGTGACCCACTGTGGTGAGTGGGTGACGGTAGTGGGTGAGTTGTTGTGACCTGTGTGGTGAGTTGTGACCTGCTGTGTGGTGAATTGTGACGGGAGTGGGTGAGTTGTTGTGACCCACAGTGCGGTGAGTGGGTGACGGGAGTGGGTGAGTTGTAACCTGCAGTGTGTTGGGTGGGTGAGTTGGTGTGACCTGCAGTGTGGTGGGTGAGTGAGCGAGTTATGACCTGCAGTGTGGTAAGTGGGTTATGGGAGTGGGTGAGTTGTGACCCACAGTGTTGTGAGTGGGTGAGTTGGTGTGACCTGCAGTGTGGTGAGTGAGTGACGGTAGTGGGTGAGTTGTGACCTACAGTGTGGTAAGTGGGTGACGGCAGTGGGTGAGTTGTTGTGACCTACTGTGTGGTGAGTGGGTGACGGTAGTGGGTGAGTTGTTGTGACCTGCTGCGTGGTGAGTTGTGACCCACAGTGTGGTGAGTGGGTGATGGTAGTGGGTGAGTTGTTGTGACTTGCTGTATGGTGAGTGGATGATGGTAGTGGGTGAGTTGTTGTGACCCGCAGTGTGGTGAGTGGGTGACGGTAGTGGGTGAGTTGTTGTGACCTGCAGTGTGGTGAGTTGGTGATGGGAGTGGGTGAGTTGTTGTGACCTGCTGTGTGGTGAGTTGGTGGGTGACGGGAGTGGGTGACTTGTGACGGGAGTGGGTGACTTGTGACGGGAGTGGGTGAGTTGTTGTGACCTGCTGTGTGGTGAGTGGGTGATGGTAGTGTGTGAGTTGTGACCTACAGTGTGGTGAGTTGGTGACGGTAGTGGGTGAGTTGTGACCTGCAGTGTGGTGAGTTGGTGATGGGAGTGGGTGAGTTGTTGTGACCTGCTGTGGTGACGGGAGTGGGTGAGTTGTTGTGACAGGAGTGGGTGAGTTGTTGTGACCTGCTGTGTGGTGAGTGGGTGATGGTAGTGTGTGAGTTGTTGTGACCTGCAGTGTAATGAGTGACGGGAATGGGTGAGTTGTTGTGACCTGCAGTGTGGTGAGTGGGTGAGTTGGTGTGACCTTCAGTGTGGTGAGTGGGTGAGTTGGTGTGACCTTCAGTGTGGCGAGTGAGTGAGCTTGTTATGACCTGCAGTGTGGTGAGTGAGTGACGGTCGTGGGTGAGTTGTGACCTGCAGTGTGGTGAGTGGGTGACGGTAGTGGGTGAGTTGTGACCTGCTGTGTGGTGAGTGGGTGAGTTGGTGTGACCTTCAGTGTGGTGAGTGGGTGACGGTAGTGGGTGGGTTGTGACCTGCAGTGTGGTGAGTGGGTGACGGTAGTGGGTAAGTTGTTGTGACCTGCAGTGTGGTGAGTTGTGACGGTAGTGGGTAAGTTGTTGTGACCCACAGTGTGGCGAGTGGGTGATGGCAGTGGGTGAGTTGTTGTGACCTGCTGTGTGGTGAGTGTGACGGGAATGGGTGAGTTGTAACCTGCAGTGTGGTGAGTGGGTGAGTTGGTGTGACCTTCAGTGTGGTGAGTGGGTGAGTTGGTGTGACCTTCAGTGTGGTGAGTGGGTGACGGTAGTGTGGGTGGGTTGTTGTGACCTGCAGTGTGGTGAGTGGGTGATGGTAGTGGGTGAGTTGTTGTGACCTGCTGTGTGGTGAGTGTGACGGGAATGGGTAAGTTGTTGTGACCTGCTGTGTGGTGAGTGGGTGAGTTGGTGTGACCTTCAGTGTGGTGAGTGGGTGACGGTAGTGGGTGGGTTGTGACCTGCAGTGTGGTGAGTGGGTGACGGTAGTGGGTGAGTTGTTGTGACCTGCAGTGTGGTGAGTTGTGACGGTAGTGGGTAAGTTGTGACCCACAGTGTGGCGAGTGGGTGATGGTAGTGGGTGAGTTGTTGTGACCTGCTGTGTGGTGAGTGTGACGGGAATGGGTGAGTTGTAACCTGCAGTGTGGTGAGTGGGTGAGTTGGTGTGACCTTCAGTGTGGTGAGTGGGTGAGTTGGTGTGACCTTCAGTGTGGTGAGTGGGTGACGGTAGTGTGGGTGGGTTGTTGTGACCTGCAGTGTGGTGAGTGGGTGACGGTAGTGGGTGACGGTAGTGGGTGAGTTGTTGTGACCTGCTGTGTGGTGAGTGTGATGGGAATGGGTGGGTTGTAACCTGCAGTGTGGTGAGTGGGTGAGTTGGTGTGACCTTCAGTGTGGTGAGTGGGTGAGTTGGTGTGACCTTCAGTGTGGTGAGTGGGTGACGGTAGTGGGTGGGTTGTGACCTGCAGTGTGGTGAGTGGATGACGGTAGTGGGTGAGTTGTTGTGACCCACAGTGTGGCGAGTGGGTGATGGTAGTGGGTGAGTTGTTGTGACCTGCTGTGTGGTGAGTGTGACGGGAATGGGTGAGTTGTAACCTGCAGTGTGGTGAGTGGGTGAGTTGGTGTGACCTTCAGTGTGGTGAGTGGGTGAGTTGGTGTGACCTTTAGTGTGGTGAGTGGGTGACGGTAGTGTGGGTGGGGTGTTGTGACCTGCAGTGTGGTGAGTGGGTGATGGTAGTGGGTGAGTTGTTGTGACCTGCTGTGTGGTGAGTGTGATGGGAATGGGTGGGTTGTAACCTGCAGTGTGGTGAGTGGGTGAGTTGTTGTGACCTGCAGTGTGGTGAGTGGGTGACGGTAGTGGGTGAGTTGTGACCTGCTGTGTGGTGAGTGGGTGAGTTGGTGTGACCTTCAGTGTGGTGAGTGGGTGACGGTAGTGGGTGGGTTGTGACCTGCAGTGTGGTGAGTGGGTGACGGTAGTGGGTGAGTTGTTGTGACCTGCAGTGTGGTGAGTTGTGACGGTAGTGGGTGAGTTGTTGTGACCCACAGTGTGGCGAGTGGGTAATGGTAGTGGGTGAGTTGTTGTGACCTGTGTGGTGAGTGTGACGGGAATGGGTGAGTTGTAACCTGCAGTGTGGTGAGTGGGTGAGTTGGTGTGACCTTCAGTGTGGTGAGTGGGTGAGTTGGTGTGACCTTCAGTGTGGTGAGTGGGTGACGGTAGTGTGGGTGGGTTGTTGTGACCTGCAGTGTGGTGAGTGGGTGACGGTAGTGGGTGACGGTAGTGGGTGAGTTGTTGTGACCTGCTGTGTGGTGAGTGTGATGGGAATGGGTGGGTTGTAACCTGCAGTGTGGTGAGTGGGTGAGTTGGTGTGACCTTCAGTGTGGTGAGTGGGTGAGTTGGTGTGACCTTCAGTGTGGTGAGTGGGTGACGGTAGTGGGTGGGTTGTGACCTGCAGTGTGGTGAGTGGATGACGGTAGTGGGTGAGTTGTTGTGACCCACAGTGTGGCGAGTGGGTGATGGTAGTGGGTGAGTTGTTGTGACCTGCTGTGTGGTGAGTGTGACGGGAATGGGTGAGTTGTAACCTGCAGTGTGGTGAGTGGGTGAGTTGGTGTGACCTTCAGTGTGGTGAGTAGGTGAGTTGGTGTGACCTTCAGTGTGGTGAGTGGGTGACGGTAGTGTGGGTGGGGTGTTGTGACCTGCAGTGTGGTGAGTGGGTGATGGTAGTGGGTGAGTTGTTGTGACCTGCTGTGTGGTGAGTGTGATGGGAATGGGTGGGTTGTAACCTGCAGTGTGGTGAGTGGGTGAGTTGGTGTGACCTTCAGTGTGGTGAGTGGGTGAGTTGGTGTGACCTTCAGTGTGGTGAGTGGGTGACGGTAGTGTGTGAGTTGTTGTGACCTGCAGTGTGGTGAGTGGGTGACGGTAGTGGGTGACGGTAGTGGGTGAGTTGTTGTGACCTGCTGTGTGGTGAGTGGGTGAGTTGGTGTGACCTTCAGTGTGGTGAGTGGGTGAGTTGTTGTGACCTGCAGTGTGGTGAGTGGGTGACGGTAGTGGGTGAGTTGTTGTGACCTGCTGTGTGGTGAGTTGTGACCTGCTGTGTGGTGAGTGGGTGAGTTGGTGTGACCTTCAGTGTGGTGAGTGGGTGAGTTGGTGTGACCTTCAGTGTAGTGAGTGGGTGACGGTAGTGGGTGGGTTGTTGTGACCTGCAGTGTGGTGAGTGGGTGATGGTAGTGGGTGAGTTGTGACCTGCTGTATGGTGAGTGTGACGGGAATGGGTAAGTTGTTGTGACCTGCTGTGTGGTGAGTGGGTGAGTTGTTGTGACTTTCAGTGTGGTGGGTGAATGAGCTTGTTATGACCTGCAGTGTGGTGGGTGGGTGACGGGAGTGGGTGAGTTATTGTGACCTGCTGTGTGTTGGGTGGGTGGGTAATTGAGCGACTTGCTGTGACCTGTAGTGTTTGTTGAGCACAGTGTATAGACAGTTCTCAACATGGGTGTCGTAACCATGGTCGTAGCGATATAAGAGTGATTAGAACTCGACTGTGGATGTATCGTATTTGGATGTTGGTAAATGGCTGTGTCATCGTGTTTAGCTGCAGGGTATTCACGTAAATGTAATCTATTAATATGTAACTTAGTTTTAGCCTCCAGTGGAAATGGGTTTTTTTTGCGATTGCAATTTTCAGGTGCCGCGAGACATTTTCAGTCCACTGCTTGACGATTGCCTTGTCTGTCCGGCTGGGCTGGAGTCCATGTCACGCACGCTGTGTCCAGGTTTAATTGCTGCAAGTCCTCATTGTTTGTGCCTCGTGTATGTAGCGTCGTTTGAGTTGCTCAATTAAATTGTAGATTTTACATTTTACATGAGGTGGTGGCTAATGTGTTATTGCATAGAGCCATTTGTCCCGTAACTTGAAACATTGCCCGTGTTGTTTTGTAGCAAACGCTGCATATCGACGTTCTTCGTTTGAGTAGCGGTTTTTCATTTTCGGTTTTAGGAGCCCCGAGCACAATGGAATAATTCCGTTCACGACTAAAAGAAGCCGTGATATGATCAAAACCACGGGATAATCACGTAGGTTTGGCTTTCATTTTTTTCGTCGCCTTCCCCTCCTCCCCCCTTTTGTCTCGCCGCCCGTGGTACGGTCCAACAAAGCCCAGGGATAGACTCCCTCGAGAATGGAAGAGTCCAGCTCGAGTTTCTCTCGCTCACTTCCGGCCGCATGGCAACACCCCTTGCCGACGTCCTCCACATGGTAGCGCCCTGCTGCCTCACTCGGTCACGTTGCTCGCCTGGCCGCCCGCAAGCGCAACGCAGGGACGGGGGGAAACATGGCAGACTGGCTGTCACCATGGTGGAATTAGCCGAAATGGAAGCGTACGTTTTGGAGGACCTCTTAGAGGTAAGGCGGGGACCGGGTGGTGGTGGTGGTGCTGGTGGGGGGTGGGTGGCCCACGTCGTTTGCGTCCGCGGAGCCGACGTCTCTCCGGCTCGTTTTGTACAGCTCTCGTATGTCGCGCGGTTAAAGGCGAACGGGAAGGGCACCAAAAAAAAACCCGGCAGGGTTTGGACGGACGGCGTTGGTGGAACTGCCCCTCCCCCTTCCCCCCGTGCCGCGCTTATCTCGATTTGCCCACCGCGATAAGGCCTCGGTCGGGCAATAATTCTTTGCCACCGAAGCTGCCCCCCCTCCCCCCCTATATGCGTTGAGGCGGTCGGTCGCTAGCCGCCCCCCCCCCCCCTGCGAGCCCGTGCGGTCTCGCCTCGTCGACTGGGCCCCGCTGCGCACGCGGGCGGGCGGGCGGAGCGACAAGGAGTGGGGGTGGCGGTGGTGGTGGTTATTGTTTTGCTCCACGCCGCCGCCTGGGCGCGTTGCATTCCTCTCATTCACGCGGGCTTCTCTCTGGGCAGCCGAGACGGGCCTGCCGATGAAGGGCAAGCGCGCGGCGCGCTGGTCTTGCTTGGCCACTGGGCGTGCTCTGGAATCGGCCCGGGGTGGCCGCCGGTGCCATCACTGGGGGAGGAAACGCGTGGCGTCCTCTACGACTCAAATAAGCGACTCGTTGAGGGACAGCTGGGTATGGGCGACTGACCGTGGCTTCATTCCGCTGGCCAATAGCGGCTGATAAATAGTCCTCAAAATAAACTTCCTGGGTGTACGCACATGGACACGGCAGGCTTTTTAATTATTTGCATGTGACTTGGCTCTAGTGGGAGAGGGTAGTTGGGAATGCTGCTGCTGTTGCTGTGTGTGGGTGAGAGGGTAGTTGGGAATGCTGCTGCTGTGTGTGAGAGGGTAGTTGGGAATGTTGCTGCTGTGTGTGGGTGAGAGGGTAGTTGGGAATGTTGCTGCGTGTGGGTGAGAGGGTAGTTGGGAATGTTGCTGTGTGGGTGAGAGGGTAGTTGGGAATGCTGCTGCTACTGTGTGTGGGTGAGAGGGTAGTTGGGAATGCTGCTGCTACTGTGTGTGGGTGAGAGGGTAGTTGGGAATGCTGCTGTTGTGTGTGGGTGAGAGGGTAGTTGGGAATGCTGCTGCTGTTGCTGTGTGTGGGTGAGAGGGTAGTTGGGAATGCTGTTGCTGTGTGTGGGTGAGAGGGTAGTTGGGAATGCTGTTGCTGTGTGTGGGTGAGAGGGTAGTTGGGAATGTTGCTGTGTGGGTGAGAGGGTAGTTGGGAATGTTGCTGTGTGGGTGAGAGGGTAGTTGGGAATCCTGCTGCTGTGTGGGTGAGAGGGTAGTTGGGAATGCTGCTGCTGTGTGTGGGTGAGAGGGTAGTTGGGAATGTTGCTGTGTGGGTGAGAGGGTAGTTGGGAATGCTGCTGTTGTGTGTGGGTGAGAGGGTAGTTGGGAATGCTGCTGCTACTGTGTGTGGGTGAGAGGGTAGTTGGGAATGCTGCTGTTGTTGCTGTGTGTGGGTGAGAGGGTAGTTGGGAATGCTGTTGCTGTGTGTGGGTGAGAGGGTAGTTGGGAATGCTGCTGCTGTGTGTGGGTGAGAGGGTAGTTGGGAATGCTGCTGCTGTTGCTGTGTGTGGGTGAGAGGGTAGTTGGGAATGTTGCTGCTGTGTGTGGGTGAGAGGGTAGTTGGGAATTCTGCTGCTGTGTGTGGGTGAGAGGGTAGTTGGGAATGTTGCTGTGTGTGGGTGAGAGGGTAGTTGGGAATGTTGCTGCTGTGTGTGAGAGGGTAGTTGGGAATGCTGCTGTGTGTGGGTGAGAGGGTAGTTGGGAAAGTTGCTGCTGTGTGTGGGTGAGAGGGTAGTTGGGAATGTTGCTGCTGTGTGTGGGTGAGAGGGTAGTTGGGAATGTTGCTGTGTGTGGGTGAGTGGGTAGTTGGGAATGTTACTGCTGTGTGTGGGTGAGAGGGTAGTTGGGAATGTTGCTGTTGCTGTGTGTGGGTGAGAGGGTAGTTGGGAATGCTGCTGTTGTGTGTGGGTGAGAGGGTAGTTGGGAATGTTGCTGCTGTGTGTGGGTGAGAGGGTAGTTGGGAATGCTGCTGTTGTGTGTGGGTGAGAGGGTAGTTGGGAATGTTGCTGCTGTGTGGGTGAGAGGGTGGTTGGGAATGTTGCTGCTGTGTGTGGGTGAGAGGGTAGTTGGGAATGCTGCTGCTGTGTGTGGGTGAGAGGGTAGTTGGGAATGTTGCTGCTGTGTGGGTGAGAGGGTGGTTGGGAATGTTGCTGCTGTGTGTGGGTGAGAGGGTGGTTGGGAATGTTGCTGCTGTGTGGGTGAGAGGGTGGTTGGGAATGCTGCTACTGTGTGTGGGTGAGAGGGTAGTTGGGAATGCTGTTGCTGTGTGTGGGTGAGAGGGTAGTTTGGAATGCTGCTGTGTGGGTGAGAGGGTAGTTGGGAATGCTGCTGTGTGGGTGAGAGGGTAGTTGGGAATGCTGTTGCTGCTGTGTGTGGGTGAGAGGGTAGTTGGGAATGTTGCTGCTGTGTGTGGGTGAGAGGGTAGTTGGGAATGTTGCTGCTGTGTGGGTGAGAGGGTAGTTGGGAATGTTGCTGCTGTGTGGGTGAGAGGGTAGTTGGGAATGTTGCTGCTGCTGTGTGTGGGTGAGAGGGTAGTTGGGAATGCTGCTGCTGTTGCTGTGTGTAGGTGTGGAGCGTTGATAATAAATGATAGTAGGAGTTGTGTGAGGGGGGGCTATGAGAGGGCAGTTTAGGGGGCGTGTAGAGTCGGGGGGGGGGGTGTTCGGCTTGGTTAAGCGTGTTCGAGTTGAGTCATCCCCTGTGTGCAAGGGAAGTGCCCTTAGTGGCAGAATAATATGGCACTGCAGCAGCTGTAGAAGGTAAGGGGGGGGTGGAGAGGATGCTGTAGAACGCAGCTCTCTTTCATTTTGCTCCCTCTGCCACCTTGGATGTTGCTGCTCTTCTGCCCACTTTCCGCTCCCTTCCCGGTCTACTCGCTGGCACGTGAGTGCGTGCGTGCCCTGCGCGTATGCACGCTGGACCGTGAAGGAGGTATCGTTCTAGGCTGACCGCGGGCCCGCCACTGACTGTTAGCGTGCGGGCGGGCGGGCACAGGCAAGAGCGAGCGGCCTTGCGTGCTTTTGGCAGTGCAAGTCGTCGGTACTCTTTGTCGGCTGCGTAAGCGCCAGGCGCAGTGTGGCCCTGGAGGTTGCCCAGCTGTTAAAAAAAAAGCCAGATTGGCGGTACGAAATTGTTCGCTCGCCTTTTCCGCACAAAATGCTTGCATTTCTTTCTCACCGATGTGCCACCAAAGCTACAAAACCACCCTTTGACCACCTGCTAGTCAGCGGACCCTGCGTCTGTGTTCGCTGAATGCGGCATCACCCACAGGGACTTGGCGAAGCTTTTGTCTGTTTTGAACGGCTAACACCGTCGGAGCGCTCACCGGACTTTGAAGTGTGCCTCGCACGGACACGCCGCGTGTGCTTCATAAATACACGCAATTCGTGCACGTTGGTACAATTTTTGTCGCTCGTTTTTGTTGGCCGTGTCTGTCTCGTTTGAACCGCAAGCTGCGTTTCCCAGAACGTGTCCATCGGCGCAATTTAATCGAGAGGGAGGGAGAAGCAGGGGAGACGCCGCAACGTGGTTTTGTAGAGGCGCAGCACGGCCCCCCCGATCGCAAGGTCGTCCCTTCGCATCCAACCGCGTGGTCGTGTCGGCCCCGTGGTCTCCGGTGGGAAGTCAACAATGGTTGTCCCCGTGGAGACGGCGGTTCCTGCCATAGCAACGTGGAATTCCCACCGCCACTGGCTGAGAAACCGCCAGTGCCGCCAAGCACCGCCCCAAAGCTTCATGGAGCAGTTGGGAACGCTGTGCTCTTTTTGAGTAGAAACGAGAGTGAAAAGCAGGTCTCTTGTGTCTTTGTATTTCTTCCTTAATAAGGCAACCTTTAAGCCCCCATTGATGCTTTTGATACAGTAGCTGGTTTAACCGGCTCAACAGCGCACGGTGCAATCTTCAACGACATTTGCACGTTTTACCTTTGTTTGGCATTCGCTCACATTTCGCAGAGGCCACGTGAATGGAGCTGTTAACCCTCGGAACGCTGCCCATGGCCGTGCGTGATGGAGTTAAATTGCGCTTTATGAAAATGAATAATTGAGTACATTTGGTATCGTTGCCATTTATTTATGGCAAGGCTACTACGAAGGCGCTATTTCATAGACGTCTGCAGTAATTTCACCCTTAGGGGGCGGTGTTGCAATGTACCGATCCCCATCGAGTCATTTGAGGTTATTTCTAAATTTGTGCAAATTTGGACCGTGACGCCGACACAATGGCCGTCTCATTTCGGATGCCACGAAACGTTCACCGTGACGCAGTCGGTGTGATTTTTTTTTGCGGTTTGCACACCACCACCCCCAACCACCAACCCAAGTAATAACCAGGGCGGCCTTTTGTGTTCGAGCCGCTACAGCAAGAGGCAAACGTCCTACCTCTGGGCCGTGTGTCACTGGCTCGAACCCGTCAGAATGCATCTCGTCACTATGCACTGCGGAGCTGAAACTCGCTCTATGACCGTCGCTCGTTGAGTGAATATTTCAATGCTCATTAAACCCTTGGCGTCATTCACATGATGGAAAGCCTGTAAAATGGTGATTGGAGAAGTGCGTTGTTGTAATATGCTTGCTCTTTCGCAAGGCAAATCAGAAATTCAAAGGTGTATTTGAAGTGTTAAAGGGTAGCCGGAAATGCAATTTTTTTTTCAAGTGGGAGTTTAATCTTGAGCAGCGTGGTGCCAGACAGAATGTCCAATTACCTGGAAGTGTGCGACTACATTAACAGCGGCAAACGGAACATCAGATACCTTCTATTGTGTTACCGTGCCCAAAATATAAATAGCGCGTTCAAATAAATGATAGCCATGGTTGGTTGGGTTCAGCCCTGTCAAACCAGGAAATTGAGATTATTGTTTAATTGTTGTCGCAGTCTTTAGAATC